GGATGCAGGAAAATCAGAGGTACCTCTTCTTTGCACTTCACATGCTCTTCCCGTGGCAGGGAATTCTGGCAGCATGTTATGAGTTTAACTGTGATCCTGCCTTTACTGCACCCACACAGATCCTCACAAAGTCTGAGGCACTTAACAGCTCCAGAACTGTAAAGGTGTGGCTTAGCCAGGTCCACAAAGAATGGTCCCAAAGAGCACACCTGTAGAAACATCTTGGTCTTTCTCGTGTCCTCAGCTTTGTTTTCTGCCCCACATCTTGCCCAAGCACAGAGTGCCTGAAGCACAGCTGGGCTGCAGCTTCAGGATACTGAGAAGCATGTAAATCCTGTGGCCTAATGCTTTATAGGGTGGGACTGTGTTTGCTTTGCTAGTCTTAATTTCTTTTGAATGGAGACTGTCATAAGCAAGGTGCACAAAGGTGTTTGTGCTGTGATTTTATATCAGTTTGAAAAGAAAAAGTGTCTTTGGTGGTATGGATCACACTGAAACTCTCTGTGGTGGAGCTGTGAGGTTTTAGCCTCAGTTAGGGTTGGTTAAGCTGTGTCAGATCGGGGCCACAGCTTTCACTTACTGGATGCTTCATTAGAACAGGGTTTGCAAGGTGCACCCTCTGGTTCTAGGAAACAGTGACACTGCTTTCACTGTAAGTAGATGTGCATTGCATATAAATTCACCACCACGAAGTTTTGCAAGCCACACAGAAAAAGCCTTTCTCTCCTCTGTTAATTTTAGTTGGTATTCCTGAGCACTAACATTGAAATTCTTCAGATGTTGAATTGATCTTGCTGGGTCAGCATTGGCTCCAGCTTCTCCTCGTCACCAGTGAGGCTTCTCTGCTGTCTCAGTTGGCAGAGGGAGGTGGATGCACGAGGGTGGTTTGGGCATTTGCACATGCTTGCTTGTTCAGGAATTGGCTGTTGAGAAATACAGAAAAACTGGCACTGAGGGTGTTCCCTGAATATTTAAAATGACTGCTGGCATCTGTCCCACCTTTCTGTGAGGTCAGGCTCTTCTTCTGGTACCGTGTGGAAGACACAACTGGCATTAGACTGGCACTGCCAAAAGGACCAAATGACCTTGAAGTGTCCACTGAAGTTTGGATAGCTAAAGGGAGTGTCCTTGGCTAATGTGTCCATGGGGATCCTGAAGGGGCACAACACTTCTGTGGTGAATGAAATGGAGGAGGAAGCTTGAGAGGACTGTACTTGAGGATGGGGAGGGTCCAGAGGTGATCACAGAATCAATTAGGTTGGAGAAGATCTTTGAGATTGAGTCCAACCCGTGACTGAACAACACCTTGGCACTGAGTGCCATGTCCAGTCTTTCCTCAAACACCTCCAGGGGTGGTGACTCCACCACCTCCCTGGGCAGCCCCTTCCAGTAATGCAGAGTGGAGTCAGGAAATATTTTGTATGCAGGCACTTGTTGAGGGGCCAGGACACTGGAGGAAAATGAGTCTCCCACAACAGGATATCTGCTAAAATATGTGACGTAAGAAACCTAGTGCTTCAGAAATGTGAGAGGATGACTGCAGTGTACACAATCCCAGGGATGAGGCAGCACTTTTGTTCCAGCAGAGGTAAAGCAAAGTTTAAGCTCTGTGTGGGATGTTTGTGTGTCAGTTCTGTTGACTGCACAACCACCGGGAATGAGTCAACTGGAGCTGACCATGTCTTTCCCCAAGCCATGCCAGCTCTAGTCTGGGCAAATCAAGAACGTGTCAGCTTGGTGGTATGAGGATGAGTAAGTCTGCAACACCTCAGAGCTGGCACGAGAGGAGCACAGAGCGGTTTCCTACCCAGCTGGCACAGATCCGGGGCCAGCAGGCTCGACGGGAGCCAGGCACGGAACAGAGGGAAACTGTGAGCTAGAGCCTGGTTGTCCCAGTGCAGGGGTTTCACACAGCATCCTGCCAGAGGTGGATGGTCCCTGTGCTGCTGTGGGAAGAGCTTGGAGTCCATAAAACACCTACAAATAACTGCCCTGTTCGTTGCCTGACACACCAGCCGGTGTGACAACTTGTCTGTGTATGGGTAGAAAGGTTTCCTGGGGAAATTTAAAAGCTATTCTTGGTGAGACCAGGACAGCACTTAGAACAGCCTCATTTGGTGGCCAAAACAGTACCAGGACATGGTATCAACCCAGTATTTTCTTCCCTGAGCAGTTCCTTGAGCAGCAGTTTCTTGTGACTGGGGCTGGAGAACTGGCCTGGGAGGAGCAGCTGGGGAGGGTGGGTTGGGAAGGAGCTCTGCCAAGCTCCTAAATTTCCAGGCTGTGTGCAGTTCTCCTTGTTTAGAAATCTTTGTTCTGTCCAGTAATCCCCTCATTTTCATGCTCTTCATACTTTCCTGTAAAGAAAGAATTTATTTCCAAGGACCCGCAGGTTGTGCACCAGTAATTAAATAATAACAATTTCTGGCTTAGCCCTTTGTAGACTCCTGATTTACCTGCTGTGTGTGTGTGTGGACAGGGTTTTATTCACTAGGAAAAAATACTCTGCCACATAAAAATAATCCATTTATAACACAGGCTATTGCTTCATAGAACAAAGTGTGAGAATTACCATCTGAACAGATTGATGAGCTGCCACTAGAATTAAAATGCACATTCAGGTGGAACATTATTTACACTATAGACAGCTGAATTTAAAATACACCGGTGAAGGTTCTTTCCCAGTTTTTTTGAAATTGGAAACCAGCCTGTTACATTGCATCACTCCCTGGGAGCACGAGGCAGCCTCTCAGGTTGGAAACTACTTTAATTGTGCCCGTCTGCCCCGTGCTGTGGATTCCTGCCCACAGGGAGGGGGGAACGGATCCTCCCTGGGGTGTGTCTGTGCCCTGATTTCACCTGCAGCCCCTCAGCTACCGAGCCCAACTGTTCATCTCCCCGTGGCCCACACAACACCTTGCTCAGCCCTCCCCACCTGAAGGCACTGGGGGAGTCATAAAACAACCTGCTTGGGTTGCTAGGGAGTGGCAGCAGGAAAGCTCCCTTTGGAGTGGGATTATGGGATATAAACCAGGTACCTACGCGAAGCTCCGTGTTTAATTTCCCTGATTTATTGGTGTGAGCTTCTTGCACCTTCAGGGATGGTGTATTATCTCCTGTTCCTGGAAAAGGGGAATGCCTGTTGTTCCCTGCTCCATTTTCTGACTGAAAACCTCTGGAAGGTTAAGCAGTGGGTTGGTAGCAGAGCTTTGGGAACAGATTGAACTGCAGTGGCATTGCTGCTCCTTTCAGCCTTCCCAGTTCAAAGGTGCTGTGAGATACAGTGGGGATTTAGAGCCCTTATAGTCCCTGATTGCTCCACAACAGAGAGAAACTTCCAGGAGGAGCTTTAATCCAATGGCTGGGACTTCCAGGCTCCCAGTTCTGCTGGAATACTTGGAGGGAGAATTGGTTCTGACTTTTGCTTCCTGGGGTTTGAGGCTCTGCCCCAGACAGAGGATTTGCCCTGCCCCGGGGTGCTCCCTCCAGGATGAGTCCCAGCAGGAAGGAGTCTCCAGCAGCCAACAGAGCTTCTGCTTCACTTTCCCTTGGGCAGAAAGAGAGAAGGGAAATTCACTGGGAATACTTGGGATATGACTCTGCAGGCTCATGGCAAATCCTGAGTTCTGGTCAGCCACAGTGGGTCAGTACAAATCGTTCTCTGTGGGTGACCACTGACAGCCACGATGTGTTTGTGAGAGGCTCTTTGAGCAGATGAGAAACTGGGAGGGAATTGGCCTGTTTGTCAGGAGTTTTCAGTGGTGCAAAATGCAGCTTTGATATTTCTCCATGGCTGTCCCAATTTCCACTTAAAAGGAAATAATAATAATAAAAAAATACTCTTTTCAATGAAGAGGCTCCTGACAGGCGATTTTTGTAACACTGGCACAGATTTTCCCTTCCCAAAATTGGCTGACTACAAGCCAAGATTGCAACACGTTTGGAATCTGCTGGTCAGAGGTTTGGAGCTGGCTTTCTTATGAGGTTTCTAGTTCTTCTTGGCTTGGGAGCAGAGGTGGGGTGCCAAAAGGTAGAGGCGTAAAAAGTCTTCCCTTTTGAAGTTAATCAAATAATTTGAACGTTTCTCACCTCTACCTTAAGACTGTTGGGATTAATCCAGTGGCATATGGTAACCTTGAAAGACCTCCAGCACCTGTATCAGAGTTGTCTCTCTGGTTTTAATATGTATGAGTTCTGCCCTGCAAAATCTTCCCTCGTTCCTGATGACGTTCACGAATCCCTGTGCAGCTCTGGAAGGAGATTCCCCAAAGGAGCAGCAGCCATGGCCATCCCAGGATTGTGAGGGATTGTGGCACTGTGTGTGCTCTCAGATCTGTGTGTTTGCAGGGGCACAGGAGAGCCTGAGCAAGGAGCCTGTGATGAAATCTTGGGGCTCACGGGTGAAGTGGAAAGTTTATTTAAGGTTTATTTGCAGCCCTTCGTGCTTTTGGTGTTTACTTACAGGGTGTCAGGGAGAAAAACCTTAAAATGACTCTGAGAGCACTGTAGGGAGACAAACAAGGATTTTGGGAACTCCTGAGCTACAGGACACGTGCCTGTCCTTCTGAGCAGGCCTTGTTGACAGTAGTTTAAACCCAAAGGACGTGGTAGAGCTGGATGGTTGAATGTTGAGGTGCAAAGTTTGGCATTGATGGATTTATGACCAAGTAGTTGTCACTGCTTTCCCACAAACTTTGATGTGACCCCAGGGAAACTGCTGAAAGTTTCTGCAATTAGGATTGGGAGTTTTGAAATATATATTTTAAAAAGACCATTAAAAAAAGAAAGGCCACTATGCTGGAGCAGAACAGCCTGTTGATACTTGCACAGTAACTTGAGCAGCAGCTGGTTTGTCCGTAGTTAAACTTGCCAGACTTTTAGTTCCTCAGCTCAGGAACAGGACTAATTGTTTTCTTCACCTGACAAAAAGCCTTGAGAGGATGAAAGGTTGTGAGGTTGCCTTTGAATTTCAGGTGTGGGGAGAGTGAAACGGGAGAGAAAGCGGATGTATCACACCGAGTCCGGGAGGTGAAGACAGCTCCTTCAGCCACGAGGATATTCTCCCACCTTGGTGCAAGACAGCAAAGGTAAGACAAAGGTGGGGGGAACAGGCCACGAACAGCATCTGAATTACTGCTTTTTCTGCAGAAGAACTGTTAAATCTCTAAGATTTTAACAGGAAAGACCTTTGAGGTGGTCTCGTTCCAACATGGGATTATTGGCATCAGAAGGCACGGAGATCTCAGCCCCTTGGCTTTGCTGTGCCACCCAAATAAGGAGTTTTTGCTGCTCCTGAGGTGGGAGGATTTGCCCACCGAGCTCCTGGAGCAGCAGGATGGGAAAATTGAAAGAGCAGTGATCAGTAAAGAAGTAAATGGGAAAAGAAAACAGATGGAGGCTGAGAACTAAACTGATACAGAACAAATTGTTTTTTCTTCCCATGACTTGGAAAACAGTTGTAGTTGTGATTATCCCTTATGGGTTTTTTTTTTTTTGTGGCTGGCTGGATCCAGCATAAGAAGGTTCCGAAGCTCTTCAGGAAGGTTCCTGGTGGCATCAGCCACGCCGAGTCCCAGATTACACAGCAGTTAAACTCAGATAGAAATCTGTGCTTGCTTTGATTCAGCAGAGCAATTAAACCATGTGCTTTAGATCCACTTGGGATTTGAGCGTAACCTAAAAGTTAAGCATGTACTTAACATTTTGCTGAGCTGGGGCCTGAGTCTTTAACCCTTGCTGGAACACAAACTCCTCCCTAATGAGTGTTGGCAGATAACAGGCCTGTTTCTCAACAATGTTTGATTTTTTTTGCAACCTAGGAGCCTTTCTCTCAGCTTCAGTGGGCTTTGGATCGGGGCCCAAGAATGCAATCCAGAAATAATAATTTACTGTATTTACATTGCATGTAAATTATATATGAAGAAATGAAATGGCATAATGAATCAACCACAGGGGCTTTTCTTCCCCTCTGATACCAGAAGAGAAAAAGCCTGTAGGCAGCTCACAACTTTTCTGACTAATACTCTTGAGCCCTTCTCTTATTAAGTCTTCTGTTTTCTCTGGCAAAGCCTCCCCCGAATGTTACCCTCAGAACAACCTTCTTAGTCCATAAATGAGATTTTGATTCTGCTGTTATTAAAATGTACCACTGAGCACAGGGTTTACTGGTGGGAAAATCCCATTAAGTATTTCTGAAATACCCTTTAACTGCTTGATTTTTAAGACGATAGGCAAAACTTAACACTCCTCACAATTATGTGTACAATAGCTGGTACACTCACCAGTCTGGTGATATGAAGGGGAGAAAGCAGATATTGAGTCTTGTGTTTTAATGGCTTTGCTGTCTGGAGGGTGTGGAGGGCCCTAATTTTAATATAAATTGGTGTTTATTGAGGCTTTGAACCTGGTCCTGTTCTGTCTGTGAAAATACATTTCTGGGATGGAGCAGTGCAGGATCCCTTAGAGGTGTAACAGGGAGTCAACAGGTAGAAGGTGGAGCCCTTAAAACAAGGATGTGTTTTGTATTCAGAAGGCTTCATCAATAAGGTGACAGTCCAGGGGAGGTCTCTGTTTCTCTGCACTGCCACAGGTGCATCACCAGTTTTGTGACATAGGAGTGTTTTAGGTCACTGAAAAAAATCACCAGCAAAGATATGGGCAAAAGCAGGTTTTAGTAGTAAATGAAAGCATCAAAAGGTTCCTTGTCAAAGTTCACTCTACTGCTTTCTAGGCGGTTGAAACACACAGAGAGAGAAATCAGACTAAAATTTAAATCAATCAATCTGAAACTAAAAATCAACCCAAACCTAAAATCTAAAATCAACCTAAAATTTTCTGCATGGAGGCTGGGTATGGAACAGGGTCAGGGTATAAAGAGTAAGGATAAAAGGGAGTAAGGGAGAGCCTCCTGTTGAGCCACAAGGTTCAGAACAGACCCCTCTTGCCAAACTTAGCCCAGGACTTGACCAGTGGTTTAGGCCTGAAGGTTATAACAGGACTTGAGCCTAATTGAAATAATTTAGCAAAAGATACCATGGAATTTACTACAGCACAACAGTAACTCTCTTGTGGGCCTGACTTATCTAAGAATCTGGGAGAGCACCTTCCACTAGACCGGGTTGTTCAGAGCCCCACCCAGCCTGACCTAGAGCACTGCCAGCAATGGGGCAGCCACAGCTCCTCTGGCCATGTTGTTGTTTTTCCTCCTCTGTTGTCCACCCCTGAGGTGGCTGATCCTGTCCCCTCCAACTAAATTTGGGGAGTCTCTGAATCCTTTTAGCCCCAACTAATGCTTCACATCTAATCTCCGGGAGCAGGTTTGAGCTGAGCCTGTGACTCAGGATCTGTTCCTTGGGGCAGGTGAAACGTGGCTGCAAAAAGCCCAGCTCTTCTTCTTTGGCCAGTTGTTATTACTCCATTTGGTGAAACATTAGAGTAAGAGTATAATATTCATAAATAAATTTAAAAGGGTTAATGCATGATGAATAGACTGTGTAAGCATATTACAGGCATGGTTATTATGTGATACAGGTGATCATAAGTCATGGTTAAATGCAACCTATTGACCAACTGGACTCTGTAAAAGTCTGTAACAAGACATTAGCCACTTGTTAACAGAGCTAGTAATCATTTATTGATCTGACATGCAGCATTTTTACATCTGCCACCCTGGAAAGTGTGGAATTCAATTCCAGGACCTCCTTGCAAGTCCCTCTGACTATAATGGGTGACACAAATCTCTCACTGGTGAATGTTTAGCTGTCAGGGCTGGTGAGAGGCCAGTGCTGTCCTCAGGTGCACGAGGGCCTGGGGCTGTAACACCAGGGCTGTTCTCAGCGCTGGGCTGCCCCTGTTGGAGCTGTGCAGAAAGAACTGAGCATTTGCAAAGGGTGTTGATATTTTTATGTTTGGTTTTGTTCAGATTAGCAATGAAATACCCACATTTTGAAATTTATCACTGAGAGGTGTTGGGACCATTGTCAGGGACAGTCCAAGGGATTGGGGTTCCTCTTGTGAGATCACAGCTGGAAATATTCAGGCCCTCGTGTCTGCCCAAGTCCCAGCCAAGGCTCAAACAGATCTCAAAACTCACAAGCAAGGTAGACTAACCCATCCCTGCTGAATCTTTCTGTTTGAAAGAAGTAGTAGTTTCCAAGAGAAGTGTTTAGCTTGAATTTGTCTCCCAACTTTCTTAGTCCCATCCAAATACAGGTGAGAAAGCAGAATGATCCAACTGTCCCAACACAGTGACAAAAGGCAAATAAGGTCCCCAAAAGTCAGAATAAAAGTACTCCAGGGGTTTGGTAATGGCCTGCCTTTAAGAAATGGGTAACTGATGTTAAGAGAGGGGCAAATTGTTGGAGGGTTAGGGAGGGAGAAGGAATAAAAAGGTGAAAGGTGCGGGAAAATGAAGGAGAAGGGAAGAGAGAAATAAGGAGTGGGGAAATGGACAGAAGCTGAGGGAATCACCCTCATTAAAGGGATTAACAAGTAGGGATTCCTTCCTGATCCCTAGGTGTTAAAGTAAGGCTGTGCAATAATAAATACGTTGGAAAGCCCACAGTGCAGCCCTGCAGTGCAGAGCGCCACCGAGAAAAGGCCTGCATTCCTCTCCTCCTCCTTCTAGTGGGAGGAAGGAGTGATTTCATCAGGAGAGTGAGAAAAAAATGATGGAATGGCACATTCATGAGGCAACATAGTGAGGAAATAGAAGACACACAGCCCTGGAGGCTGGGAGAGGATGGCCCTTAATTCCCTGTCTCTCCGTGTTCCTCTGGCTCTGGGACCCGGAGCACACACAGCCCATCTGATTTAATAAAGGCAGGAAGCAAACGGTGCTGGAGCCATGAGAGACTGCAGATAGGGGTTGGAGAAGGGTCAAACTCATTAGTCATATGATGTGATGTAGAGTGTGGGGAGGAGGAGACGCTTTGAGGGTTAAGGGGAGTGGAAACAGTTACAGCACTGGAGAAATGGATGTTAACACAGCTGACCCGAGTGCTGGGCTGCAGTGTGACTTCTGGGGGTAAGGACAACATCCTGGCCTTTCATCCTTTCCCTTTTCTCGCTTTGGGTCATGGTTTTATAGTTCCATTCTTTACAGCTTATTCAGTATTCCTGGGAGCTGGGCTATATTTGGTGTCTGTAGCACCCAGGGACTCGAATGGGGGGTCCCTGCGGGGCCGCTGCTGCCTCAGAACATCTGTCCCTCCCAAAGTGGTGCTTCCTCCTGGCTGTAGCAGGAGCTTCTCAAACTCTGTGTTCCTCCTTCAGCAAGACTCCAAATGAACTTTCCACTGGCGTGCTGAGGAACTTCAAAGGGTGTTTGTTGGCCATGGCAGGGGATGAAGCATAAACTAGAGAGATAACACGGGAGAAAATGCACAACCACAGCCCACACATGTATTCCTCTTGCCCTGTGAGGAGCCTAATGAAAGATTCCAGGATAGCCACAGTGCAAAGGGAAGTTTTCCATGTGTTCTTGGAGCAGGAGCAGCACAGGTGGTGCCAGGTCTGGAGGGAAGGGGGTCAGTTAATTCCCAGTAAAGGGGTACCTTTATTGGGCACCTCGTTTGTTCTTGAGCAGACACCAAAGAGCTCAGGAATGGTCACAAATAGATGCCACTGCCATTAATGAGCTTGCCTGAATATATATTCATTAAAGGCACAGTTTAAAAAGTGGTTTCTTTCCAGGAGGAAGTTCAAGAGTTCTGTGTGATGTGCTGCCTTGCAGGACAAACTTTGCTCATGGCAACAAATCTGTTTATTTCTAATGTTGCCTTTTTTTTTTTTTAATTAAAAACAAGGATTTTTTTTTTTTTAACATGAAACTAAAAACAGGCATTATAGGCACCAGGTCAGCAAACAATGAGAACAGATTTGAACTTTCCCTCAGAGATGTTTATTGAAGTTCAAGGGGTTTTTATCACTCCCTCTTTCTTGCTGTGGGAGGAAATCCTAAAATAGAACACAGTCAAAACTTTTTTCTCAGCATGTTTCTGGTTCAGCAAGGAATTACAATTATTGAGTCATAAAGGGTGGGAAAAAAGCAATTTTTAAGTGAAAATGTTTTCCTAAGTTTTCTCCT